CACTGAGAACCGTCCCCCTTTAAGGACGCCTCTCAACTGTGTCTCTTCTGAGCAAAGCTTGTCTCCTGACCTTCTGCAGTCAATCTCCACATAACCTCCAAGAGATGCAGTTGGAGTTTAGCTCTCCAGTCAGACTGACTGCAACTTTGCCAGCATTACAGTGAGGCAGAAGAACCTTTTACAAACCTCAGGCAAAGGTGTGAGACTTCAAACATACTTGGTCTAACTGACCAGCTTAGAACAACTCTACCATAGTGTTTGCCGACTGTTTGCCTTCACAAGCAGTTCATGTGAGCAGAAAGCCAACAAAAATTGATTTCTATTTAAGCAGAATACTTGGTTCTTTTAAAATAAACCTGTTAAAAAAAAAACAAACCACACAATCTGTGTTTAAACAGAAATAAGAGTATTGACAGATTTTAATGAACAAAACCAAAATGCTGCATTAATAAGATTTTAAAAAACATAATGGGTTGAAGAATGTTTAGGAATTATTCATAGAAAGGGGTAAATCATCTTGTACTACTGAGGCTCTCTCCACAAACATGACAAAATTCACAGCCTTTGAACAGGCTTTTGAATGATTGGTGAAAAATACTAATTAAACTAATTTTCAAAAGTCCATAAGAATAGTTCACAGAAGGGATTAACAGAGATGCTGAGCAGACCATGAGCAAAACACGTTTTTCTCCCCACACTTCACAGAATTTGTCTGGTACAGCTAAAATACATTTAAATAAAGATTGCAGGAACCTAGGATTTTAAAAATTACTTTTAAACTGAATTCTAATTTTCACCTATATATAATTCAACCACCACAAGTTTAATGAGCGGAAGGTTGTTAGTTTAGAAATCTGATTGCATTTGCAGTTTAGAGCAGCTCTTTGCACTTGTAGGCGAGATCAGTTCTTTGCATTTGTAAAACTTCAAATGAAACACAGTTCAAACTTGTTGCAGCTGAGACACGAAGACTTTTAGCATATCGACTACCCAGGTTTGATCCCCACCTAAGAAATCAGATGCATTGCCATCTCTTTTCACTTTTTTTTCAGAGCTTTACAACTGTGAATTTCAGCATGACTTCAAAATGCTGCATGCCTTGCCTTCTTCCAAAGAGCTACTCACTATGCAGGCTCACAGTTCTAGACACTCTCACATTTTATCAAGGCCACGCATGACATTATTTACAGCCCACATCTGGCCTTAATTCACCGTTTCCCATTTCAAGATTTAGGCTATCGCATAAGCCCCCTTGTCATGTCATGAGCGTGGCAACTCCCTGTTTTCTCATCCAGCCAGCTCTGATCCCCAAGTGATAGGACTGCCAGAGAAGAAACTGGGAAAAATGGTTTCCAGAACAGTCCATACCATAGCAAAGATTTCTACTACCTTTAATGAGCACTAGTGATACTGGGATGGCAAAAGTTCAGATTTACCAGCTGCTATTATTTGAATGCTACTTCTTCAGCGATATATATTCAGGTAGCATAAGGCCAACCCCTCTCAACTGAGTTTTAGTTTGCTCAGTCATTTTAATGTGATTTTTGTACTATTTGTCTAATCATGTTTAGATAAAAGAGTTGCAAGGAGATTAATTCAGCAGTTTGGAACTAATACTGTTTGTCATGGTTAAAATTCTCTTAAACAGTTTAGTATACCTCTATTTATATTTGTTTATATGAGAGAAAAGATCTTACTTATGATGAGCAAGCATAAACAGAATACCTCCAGGGTACAATTCAAATCATGCCGCTTCCAAATCATTGGCTTATCAAGTTTAATGCTATCCTAAGGCAAACCGAATTTGGCACATAGAGGAGATAAACAGATAAACATTCAGTAGAGCAAAATAAAACGCAGGGTGGGGCAATGTTGTATCACAACCAGGGCTCCCTTTGAGCAACTACAGTCCAAAGGACATTCCATCTTTTACATTAATCCAGCAGGCTGCAGTGCCTTGCTGCACGCAGAAACAAGATTCAGCAGTTTTGCTTGCTACAGCCTCCCACTTAACTAGGAAGCCAAGTTTCCTCTGACAGTGGTGTACTTTACTGCTGGATTTGACAGGGATCATTCTGAGTGTTGATTATTGTAATTAGAGCCAAACACCCTGACAGCCTTCTTCGTAACAATCAAGGAGAGAGGCCCCACCCTGTGGACGCTTCCTGGAGCAAGTATGGCTGTGAGGCTGTTAACCACAGTGCTGTCAATACAGTGCTGAAAAACTAGCTAATATAGCCACCTACATTAGACCTGAACGAAACGAGAGTTACATCTGGGCTGAACAGCTAGGGGCTATGCACAGAAAACACCTCCTTTCTTTCTCTCCCCTTTCTGCAGGTGAGAGGAATCCTGGCTCAGTACTGCTTTTAAAGACCTGGAGGAAAGCTTACATATTGCCTGCAACCTCCTTACCTGCACACTGAGGAGGGGCAATGAGGGCAGAAGGGAATGAACCGGGATGAGGTTAGGGCATCCATCACCACCAAGGTCAACCAGCCAAGCCTGGAAACAATTGATGAAGGGCTCAGAAGCCATGTCATCTGTGTTCATGTGCTATGAACAGCAGCAGAGCCGGGATCCCCAGCATGGCTGGAGACACCCTGATCCATTCCTAATGACCCCTCATCTCCTACAAAAACAATATCACATATGGCACTCCCTTCACAAACCCACAATACTTGGAGGATTTTTCCGAGGTCATGAAGCCACAGGGAGACAGGAGCGATGTCAAGAGCTCTCCTGGGGGCACAGGGGAATGATGCAAGACCCGGACCTAGCTACACAAGATACAGCTAAGGACCGGTATGGCCATCTGGGGAGACGGGCTAACACAGGCTCGAGTTATCATGCACAATACACCAGGTTAACAACGGGATTCTGGGGGACTGAGGTTTGCCCTGGAAGGCAGTCCTCCCATGCAACCCCGCACCATGGGCCAGAACAGCTCCTAAACCAGACGGCGCTATTCCAGGCATCACCCCGAGGGGTTTTGAAACTCTCCAGAGAGGGAGATTCCATCACTTCTCTAGGCGGGTTGCTCCAGAGCTCGATCGTGAAACAACCATCCTCTCCTCACAGCTCAGCACTTCCCCGGCTGCATCCCCCGCCTTCCTGCGCCCTCCTGACGGAGCTCCCTCCGCCGACACCGCGACCCACGGAAGGCGAAGGCGGCCGCACGCCGGGGTCGCCTCAGCCCCCTAGCCCTGCCCGGCCACAGTTCCCCTCCCGTCGCGCTCGGGCTGCCCAGCTCCTTCCTCCTGCAGAGGGGCCCCAGCCGCTCCCCTCCGCGGGAGCCGTGGGCCGATGCTGCGGCCACCGCCTCCCCTGTCCCGCAGGCCGCAGCCGGTAGAGGTCGCGCCTGACATGCAGAGTGCGGTGCCGGCTTCCCGGATCCGGGGCGGGAGGGCTCCGGGCACCAGCGGAGGGCCCGCAGTCGGTGCGTGTCCCTGGCTGGGCGCCAAGCGGGCTCAAGCTGCCGGAGAGGAGGGGCCCTTCCGGGCGCAGTCGTTGGCGCCGTCCTCGCGGGTGGGTTACGTGTGGCTGTGGGAGGCTCCGTCTCCCCTCCGGCCCTTCCTGAGCACTCGGCTGCCGCAGGGCTGGGGTCCCCGGCCTCTTAGAGGAGCGGTCAGTCCTGCGGGGGTGGGGGTGACACACAGGTCTGCCCAGAGCTGCGTTAAACCTGGTCTGGAGTTGAAAAGCACGGCCAGGGAGGGCTTTCATACTGCACAGTTTTTTCCTTTAGTCCTTTTGCCTCGGTGTTTGAGGTAATCTATTTCGGCAGGTGGGTGAGTGGAACAGAGTGCATGGGGCGGCAGTTGCCATCTTTGCAGGAGCACAGCGCCCCAGCAAGGTCAGCCCTGGAAACACCCATGTGGTTACAATAGGACATGCTGTTAACACAAGGCTTGTGTTTTACATTTCGAGTTTTCTTCTCTCTCGTTATTGAACATCCTCCATCATCATGTCTATAGCCATTCCGCCATTGATACAGCTGCCCAAAGGTGCAGACAGGCATGCTGACTGGCCATATGGACACTGACTGGCAGACCTGAGAACTGAGCGCTGCGGTAGGTACGGCGCCTCTAACTTCATCACCGTGCTCCTCACAGCGATGTTCTTGAATGTACTCAGTCTGTTGAGGCATGTAGACAAGCAGCATACTGTGACCGTGGGGTTACACTGACAGGATAGCAATGTGTGAAACTGACAAACATGCCTGTTATCAAAGAGAAAGTCAACCACACAGATAGCTAGCCTTGATTTATGGCTATATTAGCAAGGCAACGGGGTGAGGAAATGACAGATGGTGTAGAAAATAAAAAGGGATGTGGGTCCTTTATAGGATCTCTGACTAAACACTAGTTGCCAAGTCATTACCAAGGCAATGAAATCGGTAATACACTAAAAAACATACAGCTGCCCAAGAAATTCAAGTCAAACCAAAGCAAGTCAGCAGGTCAACAAAACTGGAGTCAGTGCAGTAAACAGAGTAAACAGGGATATTTATAGTTGTTTGTACATTGTGTAATTGGGAGGACGTGAGGGTGATAAAAGGAAAGAACTTAGAGGACCAAGGAATGTGTTATAAAGCAAACAGTATAAGGAGGACTGACTGAAGTACCCATTCATCAGCCCTGTGCCCAGTCACCCGAGTTAGGACCAGGACAGTAAACCCACTGTTTCCATAGTGTTCATGGCTGGGTTCCTTCCACAGCCAGGAGGGACGGGTTATTTTTTTCCTTGATGTAGATGGAGGAATACTAGAAGTGCCCCAGTTAATATTGTGAAGAGAATACCAGGAGGGTGCCACCTAACAAGAGCATTCTTTCCTAGCTCCTTAATATACGTGACATAGCTTAACAAGTGTTTGTTTCACACACAGGAAATTCTGCCCACTACAGCAGTATACCCGAGACAAGTGCCTTGTAGTTAATAAAAAACAAACATCTGTGTGCAAGATGAGGGTATTTCCATGTTGGCACATATAACCACAACTATCACACCAAAATAAAGCTTGAAACTACTTGGGTAAAGTCACAATGAAGTCATGCTCACTAGCAAAGACAAAGGGATAAAAAAGTATCGTTATGATTGATGTCATAAAGCAGAATAATGAGGCAAATGCAAAACAAGGTAAGTTCAAGCAAGTTTTTAATTCCTAATTGTCCTTTAGTCCAACTTTGATTTCACAGTCTTGTATAAAACTTGTAAAAAAAATAATTAAGAATTATAAATTAAAATGTTCCTAATTTTGTTTATAACAATTTTCAAACCCAAATAGTTTTCCCTTGACTGTTTTCTTCTCTCAAATTAAGTCACTGATCTTGATGCCTAGTGTTACTTCATGCTTTTGTCAAACAAACATTTTGATCCAGTCAATCATATCCTTTCTAGCTTCTTCAATATAAGGTTTGTCAGCAGGTTTCATATCTTCTGGCTTCAATTGTGCAAAACCATGAACTTGTCCAGGATAAACTTTAATTTTATATTCAACCTTACAGTACTGTTTCAGCTTCTCCTCCAATAAGGTTATCTGTAAAAGAAAGCTTTTTTCCATTATATTGTATTTTTAAGTTTGCCAAACTTGCATTTCTCACATCTGTACCTCTTTGTCTTTTTTCCACTGTCACACTTAAGGCAGGTTCTGTTGTATAGCAAATGGGAAAACCCCCCTTTGGAATATAAGACTGAAACATTTTTTGAAAGCAAGGATAGGTCTAAGAATCTCAACACTGCTGCAAAGATAGTTTGGTAAATCTCATTGCTATAAAGGAATGGGTGCATTTCTATTCGGAGACTTGGGCTTACAACCTAATCTTAAACTCTGATCTTGAAAGAACATATTCCCTAAACCTCAGTGACTCTCAGCGCATGATCTTTTGATAATAAGTACACGCATGCTTACAGAGTACTAATCATATGATTATGTACCTATATACACATGTAGACACATTTTTGTACTTGTTGCCATTAAAAAGTCCCTGCAAGCTCAATTAATTTTTTTTTTTTACACAGGAATTTTTCTTACACAATCCACACAGACAGCTCAGAGAGAAAACTTCAGGAGAAAAAGGTATGCTTTCAATGTGTAACACATGATGAAAAAAAAAGCATTTATGATAATTTTGCCCCTGGAAAAAGACACTTTCACCATAAAAAGGAGACAGGGAGTGAAGGATTTGTTTTCTTGTGCAGAGGAGACACATGTTTGAGGTACAGATCAACATGTGCTGAATAACACAGAAGTAAATATTGATTAGCTTCTGCATTCCCAGAGTACATCACCCATTCCCGAGTTAGACCCTACTCCTGCACAACAAACTATGCTAGAGGTGGTATGTTATCCTTGTCACTGATGAAAAAAGAGTTTATGCACAGAAGAGGGCACCAGTTTCTTACCCATATATTTATCCAGCCTCTCACGTATGCTTATGATAGAGATTATATCAGAATATAGATGGCAGGCAAAGGTCAAAACAGAATCTACAAGTTGTCATAATCTTAGTCAAAATTCATGCCCACTCTTCTGGCACAGTGCGTTTTGTCTTCATACCACAAGCAATTAGTCATTGATTGGCCCACATCATCAGAAAGTTCAGTTACTGAGCTGAAATTACTTTTTTTCCAGTTCCAAGTTCAGTGATTTAGCTACCTGTTCTCTCGTCTGTAGCAGTAGTATCCAAGTTTTTGAGGTGTTTGGCTCATACCAGTTGGATCTCCCTGCCCAGTTTCACACTCTGCTTGTCTAGCCACTCAGAGACCAATGACTGGTCTTCACTGCATTTCTCACCTCAAAAAGGAAGCTTTGAATAATCTGAGCAAGATACGGGGAAAGTTCAGATATAAGCAAAACAACCCAGTCTGTCCATTTTGTATATGAAAGTGGTTTCTAACAAGCTACAGTTTCTGTGTGGGATAAAAAAACTATGGGAAAAGAAAAAGCATTTCCAGTACAACAGCTTACCTGATCATAAGAAATAGTGTGGTCTTTCTCACCAAAAATGAAAAATGTGGGATTTAGTAAATTGTATCTTTCTTCAGAGTCCCTAATTATTCCTAGAATGTTTTAGAGAAAGAACCTGTTAGTGAGGTTAATGTTCTTGCAAGATAAATGGCAAATTAAACCACAAAATTTCTATTTAGGTTTACTCATTATGCACATTTTTTAGATCAGGACAGTCTCTATTTGGATAGAGAAAAAAGCATTTGGAAAATATATTTCCCCACTCTCCAAGCACTAAAAAAAAAAAAAAAATTAGAAAATTACCATGCAAAAGGAAGCAATTTTTTCTAGTTTACAGAACTATTAAATTTTTATAGCAATATAGCATATTGTTGAAATAACCATAATTAAAATCTGCATTTCATCTTTGAGTTGAGTATTTACAGAATTTGTTGCAAAGCAATAACTAGAATTACACACTATGCATAGTCATGTGAGCCCAGGTAAGTTTTCATGTGTTCTACACTACCATAGAGGGAAACCCCAGCGGTTAATTGAGGATTTTTCAGCATCAAGTGATGTACTGCCATTCCACCCCAGGAAAACCCAACGATACCAATCTTCTTTGCATCGCATTGTTCCTTTAGATACTTCAAGACAACATCAGCTTCCCTAAGACATATAAACAAAAGCAAACTAAGGAATCTATTGCAGAATCAATACTTTACAATTTAAGAATAAAATGAAAAGAGATACATGGATTTTTCTGTGTCTGCACCCCCAGTCTTTTAAAACAGGGAATACCTATACAAAACACATTTCAGCCCAGAGCAGTGACTTATGTTCTTAAACAGGAGTTAACATCTCTGGTTCTAGTTTAGGGAAGTACAGGTTTAGGTAATTAAATACTTACCTGAATTGTGACCTGCTCCTTTGTTTCAAAATAAGCAAATATTTAATTGAATCACTTTGTCTAGGACAGGGCAACTAAAGACAAGACATATCTGCAAGTAGAACAACATCTTGCATTATGGACTGTAGGAATAGATAAGCTTCACTTTGCTATCTCTACAGAGTCAACCTATGTAGATAAAGATTTATCCTGAGTATGTCATTCCTGTTGCATGAGTTAATACTAAAATATCCTATACCAAGTCCACAGGCAATAATACTATACTAAAGTAGCAATTACTCAAAATTAAATTGCTGGTATAACTATGTTTTTTAAACATGAGGTATAATGCAAAAAATAATAGGGTTTAATGTAGGCCAGAGCAGGTATTTTTTTTTTAATTGCTAACTTCTTAGATCTCAATAGTTTTATCTTTTCTATCATCTACAGAGTTTTAAATTAATTTTAAATGCAGACTGTGCATACTAATAACTGTATTTTCAAATATTAGGTATATTATTATGGTCATCACAATTTTGGTTAGGCTGACAAAAAAATGGTATGAAAGTGAGATGAGGAGGAGGTCGTGTCCTCGGCTCTTTCAAATTCAGTTTGTTTGGAAGGGTAACTAAGTCAGTCATAGGTAAGATTCCTTATGCATCCAACACAAGGATGCACACATCCTGAAAGAGCAATGGAACTGCCCTTGAGGGCACCTACAAATGAACCCTCAAAGGACACATATCCTCAAGGTCTTACTTGTTTAAGACAGTGTGCATAATCTGCTCACTCTTTGGAGTTGCATTTTTTTATGGATGTTAGTGATTTGGTCGCAGCTTCTGCAACTATATGGTCAAAAGCATTGCTGAGACATGTTGAAGTTAGGCTGGGACTGCTGAGACGACTCAAAAGGGCCAGAATAATATTTGTAGCTAACAAGATGATAGCTGAGTAATAGCGTGGCACTGCCTCACTATCATCTTCTGAAGTTTTACACTGGATTGATAGATGCTGAAGAAACAGTACTGCCTCCCATAATTCAGGGAAGCCTTGTTACAGTGACTGCTAGGCTCTGCAGATGGTGGTCCCTCTATTTCCCATTGAGGAAAACACTATAGTGCATCATGTATCTTAGGTTTTGGGCAGTCTTGCAAATTTTGATGTAGTGCTGCTCAGGAGAGTATCATCTGCACCTATTATTATCTACAAGGCAGAAAGAAAGATGGGCAAGTGACAACTGGCAGTTGTGGAAGAGTTTTCCTCCTTGTCTTGAGGGACTGGAGGCAGAATCAGTACTTGTGGGTGAGAGTACTGGGTATTTCATAGCCTGAAACACTGGCTGTGAGCCTGTATGGCCAGTATAATAGTTGGAAGGCGGCCCAGGAAAACAAGATGGGGACAATAAGCTGAGTGATGGACAGAGCAGATGATCCTTTCATCACAGCCAAGGCAGTGCCCGTAACCACAGAACTGCCCAGAACAAGCAATTCTGTGCATGCAGCTAGCTTGCCCTGCTGTGAGGTGACACATTTTTTCATACAAATTCCCCTTGTTTGCTGGGTGTTCTTTAAAGCTGAAGTAAAAATATGTATCTTACTTGTCTACTTTCGTAGGATCATGGTGTTTCATCCAGTCAGCAAAGTCAGCCCAGTGATCAGTAGTTTTCCAGGGGTCTGTCCCTTTGAAGAAGTCTGGGCAGATAGTTCTGTACGAGACATGGAATCAAGTCAACTTTCACACCCAGGCTGGGAGAATTTGTGGATGTCTAAATGTCTGCTAATGTCTTTTACTCCAGAGTACACATTTTCATGGTTACTATCTGAATCATATTTTACTCACTCTGTTCTGGCAATCAGCAGAGCCAAAAGTATATGTCTTTCTATGGAAAAATCAACCAACCAACCAAAACCCACCACCTCTCACCCTTGGACATATTTAAAACTAAAGTGATTAAGCAGCCCTCCTGACTCTAGATACATATATATGTATCTCTGCTAGTAAAAACTAAAGCAGCTGTTTAAAGGGTTTGGTTCTGAAGAGCTTATACAAATTAAAGATAGATTTCAGCGTTTATATTTTAATCAGCTATACTGCCACGCAAGCATAAATACTGACACTTTGTGACTCTCCTTGTGTCTTTGTGCTCAGGTAGCCATTTTTGATGGGTCAGTTTTAGCAGCTTTGGAAACCTCATGGGAACATTTTGTCCCTTTGTGTTTTTATTCACTCAGATTGAAATGGTATGGTTGCCACACGCATGCATATAGGAAATATCAAATGCCATGCCTAGCCTTGGTCCTGATGATCTATCTGTGCATTGAAGAGCAAGATAGGAAAAACAGTTATTTACATGTATCCATGACCTGCAATCAAATCAACTATGTATCTAATGTCTGGGAACATCCATCCAAATATGTCATGAATCACAATCACAGCTTTGTCTGTGAAAAAAGATGGTCTACAGACATATGCTTTGATGTGCTCAATTTGTACTTCATGTCCAAGGCACCCATATCCAGATCTGTCTCCAGTATGATACAGAAAAGGATCAGCCATTTGAAAACCTAAAAAAAGAAAAAAAAAAAAGAGAGCAATAAGGTAAAAATAATTTATTAACACGCTTATTAAGGGCCAATAAAAGCAAATATCTGCAGAAAGTAGTAACTTCTGTAAATAACGTTGACATCCTTGTCTGAAAGGAGAAAAGTAGAAAAATAGCAGAAGTAGTGTTGCTGTGCAGAATGGCTCCTAGTCCACTATGTGGTATTGAGCTGAGAATGAAGACAAATACCAAAAGCAAGGTTATAAAATTACAAACAACCTGCACATGTAGGTCCTGACTTTCATGTCACATCTGTTTTGCTCCCATACCAGTCTGTCAGCACTAGTGTGAGGCATGTCAGTGTCACTCTTTCCCCACACATGGGGCCATTATGCATGTCTTCATAGGGAATCCTATGCTGATTTCTCTGAATTATGTGATGGGTAAGGACCACAGCACTCAACTGCTACTGAAAAGTACAGTGTTTGGTGCTTCTTTCAGCGCTGGTGCCTGCTAGCTAATCTGTGCTTTCGGTAACAGCATCACAGCTGTACTGGGAGCCAATGTATGGGGTGCAGTTGGTGAAGGACTGCAGTACAGATTTGTAAATTAGATTCTAATGCCTTAGGCCCATATGCCTTTGAAAGGGATTGCAAGAAAACAAGATATGCAAATCTCATTCAAAATATGTCAGAGTATTTAGTTTTGTCCCTTCTCCCAAAATAGCAATTACAGGCAATGAGTCAGTAGCTGTGCTGGAGGTATTAAAGCCAAAAGTTGTTCTGACTGTCTGTGTCAGGAGCTTGGAATGGACTCTACAAAAAGTAGAATGTGATCCTGTAATTAAGAGTAGTGTTATAATGCATCTATGCAAGTCTGCAGGGGCAGTGTTAGTAGTACTATTTCCTAGCCATGTACTGACTTTGAACCTGTCCTTGAAGATGTAGTACATGCACTTGCATATACATGATGACTGTCTCTGCTTCATCATTTCTGCATCAGCCTATTATTTCTGTTTGTGTTGTGCACAATCTGGAAGTGTGTCAAATTCTGGTAAAAACGTATACCTTCCTCAGCTTTACATTGACCACAGCAGCAGAGAGCAAGGTTTCGCTGAGTAATTGGAAATTTTGCCTAGGCAGTACAGAAAGGTTTGGTGTCAGACACATGGTGCAGGCAGGCTGAAGAACAGAGTCAGTGGTGTGGAGACCACTTATCCCTTACACAACACTTTCCAGCTTGCATAATTAACAGACTCAACAGCGTGCAAATCTTATATGCATTTAGAGTGCCTTAAACACAAGATAATCAGCTTTCTTCCCAATGTATAGTGCAGAGAGACTGTTCTTCCTCCTCCTCTCCCAACCCTGGGGCTGCTGTCACCAGATCTGGCAAGGCAGTACTGAGTTTAAGCAAATATGCTTGATTACAGCCATAACCCTTGGCTGATAGAGTGTGGTGTAGAAATGCAGGAACTGGGCCAATGTGGCTTTACTGCTAGAATCAAGCTGCTTCAGAAATAGCCATGAAGTGGGTGACCTCACATGATAAGGTCTGTGCTATAACTGAGAGCTGATTACATTTGTTAATTGTTCTCTCACCTTTCTCAACATCTGAATGTCAGGATTGGTGCTAAGAATCACGAAATAGCTTGATTTCAGGACTAGAACCTCTGTTGTTTTGGCATTATATGACAGTGGAAGTTGTAACATGCATGGGAGAGTATTTTCTAGTTTAAGCCCCACATACTAAGCCTGAAAATGACTGAGAGAGATCTGTCCATGCAAAAGTGCTTCCTACCTCTTTTTCTTAAACTAAGATGAATGAGCGTCTCCAAGTGCAAGAGGCTGCCTGGAGAATTCACAGGCGCTCCCAAAGATAGCTAACACCACTGGCTTCTGAGATGGCAGCCACAGCCTCACTCTGCTAAGGTTATTTGTTCAGAAGGGCACAACTGATGGTGTCCCCTTCAAGGAAGTAGTGTTGAGGAGGAATTAAACTTTGCAATGGTTGTGAAACAGCCTGCTCCATATCTGTTGGTTCCTTCCCACAAATATTTCTCTGGCCTGTCTTCACTGAGGCTCAGCCAGATGGCTCTTCTCCAGGCACCAGGCTGCAGAGAACGTTAGTAAATAGTCAGCCACACCTGAACTGCTTAGAAGTCTTTGATGGGATCCTGTTCAGTCAGCAGCTTTATTTGTTGCCACCCACTTTGTCCCACGCAACATGGTGTGGCGAAGCAACAAGCCAGGATATTTCCTGCCTATCCTGCCTCACCTCATTCCCTCTTCCCACCAATTTCAGCCATTACACTTTTCCTTTTCCTGCTTTCCCCATGGCACTGTTCCAAGCAGGCAGCATCCCGCTCCTCTGAGCTTCAGCATCACTGAGGAGATGCAGAGCATGGTGGGAAGTGAGGAATGGGAACAGAGCTGCCTGCTCTGATATCCATGAGTCTGCTGTCATCCTCCTGCTTATTAAGAGAAGGCCTTCTAGTAGCTTTTTCTTCACACCAGTGGTCCTGCTCTTCCTTGGTTGTCTTGATACCATTCAGCTTTTGTGCAAATAACATAAAAACTGAGGAGAGTAATTTACTATTATCACAAGGCAAAGGTGGGCTCTCCCTTGGGTGGTAGGACAGACCCAGACTACTACATTTTTAGGGAACAGCAAATCACATGGTTAAATCATGCCAAGTCTTAATTTTTCAATAGCAAAAACCAAATCTCTGCCAAGAAGGCAAGGCTAAAAATCTTTAAAAATCAATCAGGTAAAATGGGCAAACAGTCCTAAGGATATTCCCTGCTTCTCAGAAAGTGAGTATGAGCATGTGATCCCAATGCACTGTGATGTTTGGCAGGATGTTGGACTAGTGATGCCAAGATGTGACATCTCTGCCCTTTTCCTGGATCCAGTGACAGCATTTTAAACTACTGCAGTAATTTATTTTAATGATAAGTGCTCCAGTGGACCTAACGAGAAAGAATGGAATTTCATCACCATAAAGGCAAAAGAAATTATTATGGCCCTTTAATGCGATCTTGCTACTGATGAACATAAAATGGTTATCAGTGTCCTCACCACTGTTGCTGTACTACAGCTTGCATCAAGGGCTCAAAATGAAGTCCAGCCTTTCCTAAATTTGACACCCTTCATCTTCACCTTATCTGCTCCCTAACACTTGTCTTTGTGCATTACTGAAATGAAAGCCTCTTTTTAAAGGAGTTGGTTTTGCTGAATGTTCTGTGCCTTTTCAAAGAGCTATATCTAATTGCCTAGCAGTTTCAGATTTCTCCCTTTTCGCACAGTTAAAAGTAGTTAGCCTTTCTCTGCTGCCAACTCAGTCTTTGTGGACCAGTTCGCCATCACATACCTGGAGTACAGGATCCTGCTTCAGCCCAGCTCGCTTCTTCTGCTCAGTGAGATACCAGCTAGATTTCTCTAAACACAAAAAGAAGAAAACCAGTTCTGCTGGCAGTTTTGCTCCTGCTGCTGCCCATCCAGTTTCCAGGTGCTCTTCAACTCTTCTGCAGACTTTGGGATTGGGAGGTGAGGAGGAGAGGCTTAGCAAAGGAGTCATCCCAGCCGGAAGGGGTGGGGACGCATCATGCAGAGAGGCAGGGTTCACCTCCACATCAGTTGCTTTATTTATTTATTATTCCAGGAGTTCAGAAAGCAGGATGCACACAAACACTATCATGCACTTTTTTTTTCTTTTTTATTTTTTCATCTCTCTAAATATGTGTGATTCCTGACAAAACAGTATAGAGAGGCTGAAACAAGACTGCTGAGTCTTATTGCCAGTACATTTCGGTTTTCTGGGAAAATTTCCCTTCCAGACCTGTACACTACAAAGCAAATGATTTGTGTGTGATGCAGCTATTGAAGATACTGCAGAATCTTTATTCAGTGTTTATATAGCTGAGACATTTAGCATCAGTGATGTGTTTGATGACACATTGTTAAATTCAGAGATACGTTTTCTTGCAGTATATTCATGCACTTTTATTGTCCATTGTAAATGTCTTTAATGGACTTTGTGCTGAATTAAAATGAATCTGTCCAGGCAAAGTTGCAGCATGAAAAAGTCTCCCTAGCCCAGAGATTAAACATATTGCAGCCACACCCATAAGTATTCCCAACAAGTCCAAAAGTGTTCCAGGTTATTTTTGATTAGACTTGTTTTCAACAAGTTAGAAAGATTTGAGTATCAGCTGGTTGCTGCTGATGGTGGCTCATTGAAATTTTCCATTTCTATTTCCATAATGGCTTTGTATGCAAGGAACATTAGCTTAGCCCTAAGGCTGATGTCTACTATAGCTTTAATTTTCTCTGTGTGTGCACATGGTTTGTGTGTGTGTGCATGTTGGAGGAGAAGGAATGAGAGAGACAAAATAGCTCAAAGAAAATGACAATTCCATTTCAAGTCAAAGATCAATAAAGAAATTTTGATCCTAAATGTATATGACAAACAAGTCCCACAGTCACTCTGTACATTCTCAGTGGTGCTCTGTGTGGTAGTGACCACTGTGCAATCTGAAGACTGTGTAAAACAAGTGACGGTTGGATTCAGTTTACCAAACTTCAGACATTTACAATGAGGATGTCTACATGTCAGCAAAGTGTCTACACTTCCACAGTTGTCATCAAGATTTAGGGTATGATTCATACTCTATAGGTGACTTCTTTAGAAAGAAATGGATAGTCCCCTAGACGCCACCAACTGTGCTGATCTCAGAGTTTAATAGCAGCCTACCCACCCCATGCAGGTGCAGATTGCTGTGCTGAGGGCATCATCACTCAGCCAAGAGGAGTACCACCTCTGTGTGCTACACGCAACTTAAAATTAAGGTTTGTCATGACCACAAAGAGAGGGTGTTTGTCCTGTCATACCTGTCAGTAACTCTGCACATCTATAAGAAACCATTAAAAAGATTGCTTGTGTTGCAAGGGAGGGAGTGGGGACACTTCACTGAAAAGATCTGGTTTATACTTCGATATTAATGGCATCTTCCTTGAGCTTGTCTAATCTCATCTGACTGGGCAAGCTGCATGCAGATCCACAAGACTGAAGTCCAGTTTTCCCAGAACTTACAGAACAGATTGGGCCAGCAGGAGCAGGCATCTGATCCCACATGCATTTCATGACTGTAAATACTGTCTTCATGCCCAGCATCTCTAATTTGGGTGGTTAAGGTGGAAGCAGAGCAAAAGACTTGCTCTGCTGTAATGCAAGCCTTTACCTGCACACTGATTATGGTGATCTGCAAATCCTAAATCATTTCTATCTCACATACGTGAAAAGACTCTCATTTCCCTTAAGATATAATCACCTCTGTAATGGATTTAGGATTATGGAGTTCATTGCGTCCATGCATTTCCTACAGTCTCAAAAACTATTTTTTAAGCCTGCTGTGAATATCTCTACTTTTACGGTTTAAAAAAAGGGGGAAGAAGACAGATGCAGGTTGGAATGAGGACAACAGATTCACTTGATCAAACATACAGTTGTCAAATTTTTCCTTTACCTGAAACACACAGCTGGTTTTTGTTTGGTTTTATGTCTTTCTCCCTGAAAGTTTCACCAGTACTCCTCCAATTCTCCTGATTTTATAGAAATGGTATTTTATAGAATAGAAATTTTATAGAAAAAATTCACAGAAATTTTATAGAACGTAGAATAAAACCCCAAATAAATTCTCTATTGGGTTTGTGTGCCAAGGTTTTGGTAGTGGTGGGGCTACAGGTGTGGCTGCTGTGAGAAGCTGCCGGAAGCTTCCCCCATGTCCAATGGAGTCAATGCCAGCCAGCTACAAGACAGACCCACTGCTGGCCAAGGCAGAGCCCACCAGTGATGGGGGCAGCATCTCTGGGGTAACAGAGTTTAGAGGGGAAATAGTTACTGCATGGGAAAAACTGCAGCCAGAGATAGGAGTGAGAATATGTGAGAGAAGCAGCTCTGTAGACACCAAGGTCAGGGAAGGAGGTGCTCCAGGCACTGGAGCAGAGATTCCCCTGCAGCCTGTGGTGCGGATCATGGTGGGGTAGTTGTGCTCCTGCAGCCCATGGAGGACTCCACGGTGGAGCAGGGAAGAGTGTGAGGAGTCCTCATCCTGAGGAGGAAGGAGCAGCAGAGACAACAGCCCCTATTCCCTGTTTTCCTGTGCCGTTAGGAGGGAGG